GACGGCACTGCACAGAGAACTTAAATACTTTTTACACACATTATATATGTATGTAATTCTTTTTTCTTTTTTTGGAGAGGTTTTTGCTATAGGGCACGTGTGCTCGCCAGAGAGACAGAGAGAGACAGAGACAGAAAGCAAGAAATCAGCCCTCACCGCAATCCCTTCTCCACCATTCTCCTCTCGGGATCTTGGACACGCACACACATGCACCCGGCTTGAGTTCAAGCCACCGGGTCCAGGACTCAAACTGGTCGACTACATGGGAGTTCAGACACATAGCCATGATGCTAACTGCTGGTCCCTATATATGTAATTCTAAAAGAGCATAGAGTGAAAAAAAATCACTCAAGAGAAATATAATCATTGACAGAAAAAGCTTACTATAAGACAGGAGAGAAAGACTATGAAGAACATAAGGAACATAAGGAGGGGCTCTTTTTTTTTTTTCTTTTTTTGGAGAAGTTTTTAGCTGTAGGGCGCGTGTGCTTGCCAGAAAGACAGAGAGAGACAGAGAGACAGAAAGCGAAAAATCACCTCCCCAGGGGGGATGGCCACACCGCAATCCCTTCTCCTCCATTCTCCTCTCGGGATCTTGGGCACGCACGCACACGCGCCTGGTGTGAGTTTAAGTCACCGGGTCCGGGACTCGAACCGCGGTCGACTACATGGGAGTCCAGCGACATAGCCATTACACTAACTGCTGTTCTCAAGGGGCTCTTTTATAAACTCTTACTCTTATCCTCTGACATAAATGGGAGGGAATTCAAGGAAAGAATTGAGGGATGAATTTCTTACTGTGGGTCTTTGTTAAAAAAAACGTTTAGGGGGCCGATGATGCGGCAGGAAAGCACAGGTGTACAAGGCTGACCCATTGGGAGGTTCAGGTTCTCAAGCACATGTAGGCCTGTGTGATGCAAGGCTGGTCGAGGCTGGAACTGCAACATGATACTGAGACCTGTTGGGGATACTATCTCTCTGTCTCTTTTGCTCATGGAACAGATAAACTAAAAAAGAAAAATCTATCAAGAAAATATTAACAGTTCTTTTTATTTTTAGATTTACTTATTTAATTTTAATTATTATTATTTTTTAATTTGCTATAGGACATGTGCATTCACCAGAGAGAAAGAGAGAGAGTGAGAAAGCAAGTCACCAGGTCCGAGACTCGCACTGCAGTTGGCCATGGGGAGTCCAGCATCTCAATCACCACATCACCTGCTGGCCCCTCATTAACAGTTCTTAACTACTTTGGATAAAGATGTACTCTTCAATGTACTTACGTGTAAAATTTAAATGATTTAATTCTTTTAATAAATACATATTTAAAAGCATAAGAATACAAACAGCTAACAAGACAATGATACCTATTTCTGAACTATGAAATACCCAAGGACTAGGTTTCTATAATAAGATGTACCTAGGATGTTCTAGCTATGTTATAGTTAACAGAGGATTAGAGACTTCATTACACAACATTCAGCTTTCCTAACTAAATGACAAAATGATTTGTGACAAAATAAAACTTAAACCAGAGTCAATGATGTATTTACATTTCAGTCATCATATTTCTGAAATGCCTGGAATTTACAAATAAACTTTTCAATTACTAAATGTGTTGTATTAATTTGTGGTATTGGGGAAGGGTAAACAATGAACATTTCAGCAAAATCTTGGGGGAAAAAGCCCAAACAAATTCCTTACTATAAACCTATCTTTTTTGTTATTTATATAAAACCAACTTATTTATTAAAAAGATTTTAGAAAATTCCAAATAATGTGATAAAAGAAAATAAAAATTATCCATAATCCCATTATGTGATTATAACAGTGAATCACTGTTCACATTTTGGAGTTAAGAAACAAATACTGAACAACTGGCAAAAATCTGTATCAGAAACAGGTCTAAAGTCTGTATGTCAATATTTAAGTGCAATGTACAAATTTACTGAGAAAATATTAAATGTCTCCATTCTAACACAATTTTGTATTCTGTGATTGTTAAACACCAATATTTTGAAAATTACAGAGACAGCCACTTTGAAATTTTTCACTAATTTAAAGCATGAAGAAACTCCACAACTGGGCCAGCCAGGTGGTGTGATGGCTAAGATGGCTGGATCCCATGAGGCCAACTGTATGGTTCTAATCCTTGACCCAGCAGCTTGAAAAACATGCCAAGTGCATAGGCATGTGTGCCTCAAATCCCAAGGGGACAGTGAAGGAGAAGGGAATGTGGCTTGGTCATCCCCCTGGGGGGTACTTTCTCATCTCCACACCCACCCATTTCTCTCTCTTTGGCCAGCACTCTCTTGCTTTGGCACGCAAATTTAAAAATTAAAAAAAAAAATTTTTTTAATTAACCCCCCCACACAACTGTAAGTCACAGTAAAGTTTCAATGCCAGTTAATAATTAAAATGGTATTTCACTGGCAATATGCTCTCCAGGGCTTTTTATTTTAAGAAAAGCTTACTTATATCAGTGCCACTTAAAGTGAGGTGGGTCCACAGGCCAGCATCCAAAAATGAGGTAAGTTCAGAAATGAGGGTGTTTAGAAACCTATGTAGCAATCTGACTGCTTTAATACTTTAATTAGATTTTTGGGGGGGGGGGAGAGATTTTTTGCTATAGGGCGCATATGCTTGCAGGAGACAGAGAGACAGAAAGCAAGAAATAACCCCCCAAGAAGGGATGGCCATGCTGCAATCCCTTCTACTCCATTCTCCTCTTGGGATTTTGAGCATGCACACACACCCCTAGTGTGAATTTCAAGTCTATGGATCCAGGACTCGAACTGCAGTTGGCCATAAGTGAGTCCAGCGATGTAACCATTATGCCATATGTTGGTCCCTAATTATATTTTATGAGTTGTCAACCAGTCTGCAAATGAACTAGAAACTTTTATTTTTATTTTAGAGATTTTTGCTATAAGGGTATGTGCACTTGCCAGAGAGATAGAGAGAGAAAGTGAGAAATCACCCCCCCGCCCCCGAGGGATGTCCACACCATAATCCTTTCTCCTCCCTTATCCTCTTGGGATTTTGGGCTCACACGCACGTGTACCCAGCATGATTTCCAAACCTCCAAGTCTAGGGCTTGAACCATGGTCTGGAAATAAAAAAAAAATAGTCTTTGACCACAAATTTGTTTAAAGAAACAATTTAGAGGGACTAGCAGTTAGTGTGATGGCTATGTCACTGGACTCCCATGTAGTCAACCACGGTTCGAGTCCCAGACCCGGTGGCTTAAACTCATGCCGGGCAAGCGTGCGTGCATGCCCAAGATCCCGAGAGGAGAATGTAGGAGAAGGGATTGCGGTGTGGCCATCCCCCCTGGGGGGTGATTTCTTGCTTTCTGTCTCTATGTCTCTCTCTGTCTTTCTGGTGAGCACATGCGCCCTATAGCAAAAAAACTCCAAAAACAAAAATTTAGACAAAATTTAGACAAAATCACCTTACCAACTAGTTATATTGCATTTAGAACAAAAGTTTTAAAACAAATTAAAAATTTAGTCCAGGAACTTTTTGATATTCTTCTCCATCTACTGGCATAATGATCTTCTTTCCATGGATATTTTCACTGGCCCCTAGTCCCAGCTGTTACAAACAACACCTAGTTACTAATTACAGTACAGATACTATTATCTCTTTTAGTGTTGGAAGAGATCCTAATCATTTTTCCTAAGGGAAAACTGAGAGGCCCAAGGAGGTAAACTATTTTGACATTTTCATTTACACTGCAATAAGCCTTCTACCATGCAGAATGCCAGAAGCAGTCCACAGGTTTCCAGATTCTTTTGCCTTTGAAGAACTCCTCCTCTCTGTCTTATCACACTGAAAATGGGCTTTTGGCTCTCTCATAGATAACAATATAATTTATCACAACCCTCCCCTTCATTTTCTTTAGAATTTTTTGCCAGGGGCATGTGCATTCCCCAGAGAGAGACAGAAAGAGACAGAGAGAGGTACAGTGTGAAATACCCCTCAGGGAAGATGGCCACACCATGATCCTCTCTACTCCAGTCTCCTCCTGGCTTTTTGGGCACAAGTGCACACATGCCTGGTATGATTCTCAAGCTTCCTGGTCGAGGACACGAATCGTGGTTGGCCACATGGAAGTCCAGCACCCCAGCCATACCACCCACTAGCCCCAATTTATCATCTTAAAGAGGCCCTACTCTCTTCTTTAATAAACATTTTATAATCACAGATTAAAGCTGTTTTTGTTGAAAAGTATATCATTTACAAAATAGCATTGTTTCTTTTTTTTTTTTGAGAGGTTTTTGCCATAGGGCACGTGCGCTTGCCAGACAGACAGACAGAGACAGAGAGACAGAAAGCGAGAAATCACCCCCCAGGGGGGATGGCCACGCCGCAATCCCTTCTCCTCCATTCTCCTCTCGGGATCTTGGGCACGCACGCACACGCGCCCAGCGTGGGTTTTAAGCCACTGGGTCTGGGAGATGAACTGCGGTCGACCACATGGGAGTCCAGCGACATAGCCATTACGCTAACTGCTGGTCCCCAAAATAGCACTGTTTCTATAAAATTTCCAAGGTTTAAACAAACCTACCAATAGAATGTGTGACCTCTAATTTACCTTTCAGTGTATGATTTTAATATTTAAATCTAAAATGATGGGTCCCAAAGACGTCTGCCTCTTTAAGACTAACTCATCTTTCAATTACAAATTTCTAATTTATAGTCTCAACCTTTTGAACTCAGATACCATGTTTACAGGCATTGTGATTAATATTCAGGAGTGACACATTGTGAAAAACATGCTTAGCATGAAAAAAAATGCACCATGCATGAAAAACATGCATAGCATGAAAAAATGCACCATGCATGAAAAACATGCATGTTTTTCAACATGTGTAATATTGACTAATATTCAGGAGTAAATTCATATAATTTAGTCATAATGTTTCATTTTTAACTGATAAAATTCAAAACACAGGTCATTAAGAAAAACATCAGAACTACTCCAGTATTCTTACCTTGGACCCTGACAGCATACCAGTCAACATTTTAGTTCCCCTTCCGATTCCAACCACTACAAATCAAAGAGAGAAATATTATGATACTCTATTCTGAAAATGAGAAGATAAGGCTTTGAAAATAGCTACATATTTTGATCAACATTTCCTGACCTATCTTAAGTGAAGTTGGAAAGAGCATATTCAGCATAATTTGAGAGTTCCAGTTCCTCTCATCAGTTGAACTTGTCACGCAGCTAAGAAATTTTGAAGAGAATGAAAAAGAAACTTTCCTCCCTCATTCTCAAAGTATGAAACAGGGCAGAAACTTCAATGTGAACAATTAAATCAATAAGGTTTTAGAACAATTTCAAAGGACTCGCTGGGATTTTAAATGGGCACCAGTGAAAAATACATGGTACAATTAACCATGTGCAAGTGGTGTGATGAAGTCTTTTGACAGAATTCATTATTAAACAAAGCAAAAGCCATCATCATAGCTAATGAACCATTTAAAGATGATTAGTGCCCCACAATACACGATCAAGAAAAGAGAAACAGAACAAATCAACATAACACCAAGAAGAATACAGGGTAAAATGAGCGCCTGGAGAGTGTATGTTAACACGGACCAGACTAATAAACAGTATAATAGGTCACCCTTCCTTCCACTTCAGACATTGTGAGGGATCCTCAACAAGTACATGGAAACGCATATTTTAAAGAACTACGTGTAGATTTCAAGAAGTCTCCTCCCGTTCATCCTTATGACAGCAGATGTCACCAGGTGAGGCTGAGAGGATTTCATTGTTTCTTCACTTACTAGCATAGCAAATTTCTCTAAGAACTGAAGTATTTATTGTTGACAGATATAATAATGTATGAGAACACAATTTAACCATCACAGTTCAGACTTATAAGAATAAACGAGGAGAAACAAGGCAAATTAAAAATATTATAATCACCACTTACAGCAGTTATCTTCAGTGAGTTTACCATGTATCGGGTTCAACACTGGTGCTTTCCATTCATTAGCTCATTTAATCCTTTAACAACCCTAAACAGTAATACAATCAGCCCAGTTTTGAGATGAGGAAAGTGAGGCACAGAGAGACTAAGAACTTTCTCAACATTTCCTAATCTCTATATGGTGGAGTTAAAATTCAAACCAAACTAACAGCAGACTGGCTCCTTTCGTTTTCATTCCTCCTGCTAGCTGACTTACCTCGGCTTTCTATCCACTGTCACTAGCATACACACTACAAACTAGATCGTTCCACAGCCTGTTCCCTCCACTTCCAACACCATTTCAAAACCATTCCAGAAACCATACTTTGTACATTCCAAAGACCCCCCCAACAATCCTTAATGAGGTCCCAATGCCTATGGTACCAACTCCTTAGTAAAGTGGGCAATGTCCATCCTCTAAAATACAGCTCAACTCCTAACTGATGATTCATAAAGTCTATTCTAAACCTTGTCTAAATTTCTATAACACTCATTCATATTGTTGCATTATCTCTAAATAAAGTCTTTTAGTTCAAGAACAAAGTTTTAAAAAAATTCTCTGTCCTGAGTACAGCAGGTGATGTGGAGGTGATGTGGAGGCAGCAGAATCCCATATGGCCAACTGCCTGGTTTGAGTTCTGGGCCCGGTGGCTTGAAAAACATGCTACGCATGTGTGTGCTTATGTACATGCCTCAAATCCCAAAAGCAGAATAGAGAAGGGACTGTGACATGGACATCTCTCCCTGGGGAGAGGGGGAATACTTTCTCGCTTTCCCTCTCTCTGTCTCTGTCTCTCTCCAGTGAGCGCACCCACCCTATAGCAATAGCAACAACAATAAAGAAAGAAAAAGATACTCTTCAGATGACAGGACATGGTAAAATTGCTGATGAAGCAAAACCTTTGTACAATAACAACAAAGAGTCAATGCAATTTGATTCCATTTAAACAGCCCCACTCTCTATTTTCTGAACAGCTGAGTCCCATGCAAATATTCCAAGAGGAATATTTTTTATGAGACAATGGAAGACTGAGACACATTTGAAAGTGCTTATAGTCTCATTGGGCAGACAAAATACAGACAAGGAAACTGCAATGCTCAAAAAATGTCGCCTGAATTAGTAAGAGAATAATGCCAAATAACAATATGATAGTGCATGATTAAGTGTTAGCACGACAGAGAGAACAGAGTTGCTATATGAAGTCAAAGAGGAAACACTCAAATGGGCAAAGAGGCCAGAGAATGCTTTATTCAAGAATCTGAAACAGAGTTTGAGTGAGGTCTTGAGTATACAGAAGACTGGAACACACACAGAGAAGAGAAGCATGCTCTAAAGAAGGAACAAACGCACAGTTCTCAGACACAGGGATTAGCACAGTGAGTTTATCAACCAGAGTACAGGTCTCAGAAGCAGGCTGACGTGTTTGATTTTAAGTTGGTTAAAATACTGAACTGATAGTTTCTGAGCTACTTAAATGATCCTGGAAGATAACAATTAAAATAAGAAGTCTTAGAGGTAATCAGTGTCAATTTCTCACTTTACGTGCTAGCATCGCTAATCAAAACATCTAAAACGCAAAACTCTAAAATCTGAAACTCTGAGCACTAATGTGGTATCGCATGGAAAATGCCACACCTGACCTCTGTACATTGACCTCTGATGGCTCAAGGTACACACACTTTGTTTCATGCACATATTTAAAATACTGCATAAAACTACCTGAAGGCTATGTGCCAAAAGTGTATACAAAACATAATAAATTTCATTTATAGAATTGTGTCCCATCCCCCAAAATGTCATTATGTATATTCAAATATTCCAAAATTTAAAAAAATGCAGAATCAAAAACACTTTGCATCCCAAGCATATTGGATAGGAGGCACCCCAATCTCTATATCTAAGACAAATTAAGGCCCAATTGAAGTTAGATGATTAGCGAAAGCATAATTTTAGGAAGACTAGTACAAAGCTGTTACAACAAAGAATTATTTGAGGTTGGGACCCAACTATCCAGCAACTTTTCATTCAAGGATATGAATAAAAAAAAATTAAAGAGATAGTTCCTGAACAGAATTTTTACTGTTTTTTCCTTCTGCTCGATCATTCAAATGTTTTTTGTTTTTTGGTTTTTTTTTTCAGAGACAGATTTTTGCTATAGGGCATGTGTGTTCACTAAAGAGACATAAAGAGAAAAATAATCTCCCCACCCCCCGGGGATGGTCATGCTGTAATCCCTTCTCCTCCATTTCACTCTCAGAAATATGGGCACGCATGCACAAGTGCCCAGCGTGGAGTTTGAAGCCTCCAGGTCTGGGACTCGAACCAGAGTCGGCCATGTGGGAGTGCAGTGCCTTAACCACTAGACCAACTGCTGGCCCTTTGATCACTCAAAATTTTATTCTGTATACTGTATAGGTACAGCAATAAATAAGACCTGGCTTCAACCACTAAGTAAACAACACAATAGAGATGTTTTGTATTCAAAATTTTATTCTGTATATTGTATAGGTACAGCAATAAATTAGACCTGGCTTCAATCACTAAGTAAACAACACAATAGAGATGTTTTGTTTTTGTTTTTTAGAGAGATTTTTGCTCTGGGGCACATGTGCTTACTGGAGAGACAGAGAGAGAGAAACTGAGAAATTACTCCCTGGGGGGATGGCCACACCTCAATACCTTCTACCCAATCTCCTCTCGGGATTTTAGGCACCCACACACTCACACCTTTAAGCCACCTGGTCCGGACTTGAACTGTAGTTGGCCATGTAGGTGCCCCGTGCCTTAACCACCATGCTGTCTGCTGGCCCCATGAAAGAAGTCTCTATGTTGGCAAGCAGGCTGGCTTCACTCAGTTTATATGAAAAGAAAAGCATGAGTAAAGGCACACAATTTGTGAAAGGGAGTAGCGAGTAGATAACAGGATTTTCCATGCACTGTCCTACAATTACTCTCTATCTCCCAAATTTTCTGTGCTCACTCCAATGCTCCTCTATAAAAACAAATAAACAAAAACACCAAGATCTCTAAATCTACTCAACTAACCAGCAACTTTTCATTCAAGGATATGAATAAAAAAATATTAAAGAGATAGTACCTGAACAGAATTTTTACTAAGTTTTCTTCCATTTGATCATTCAAATTTTCTTTATTTCAGAGAGAGATTTTTACTGATAATATTCTGTTCTCAAACCATAAAGATATAATTTGTAAAAGATGAGATTCATTTTAGGACAGTCAAGGGGGCCATATATGTATTTCCAAAGCTTTCTATAGTTGGAAGTTTCTATTGTCATTTATTTAATTCTACAACACCCTTTCAATTATCTTAAAAGACCTGTATCTATCTTTCAAATTCTAGGAATCTATTTAAAAAACAAACAAACAAACAAACAAAAAAACCAGTGTGGTACTTCCATGAATGGCCAAAAAGTTTATGAAAAAAAAGTTCTGCATCTTTTGTCATAAGGGAGATGCAAATCAAAACTACAATGAGATACCAACTAACCCAGTCAGAACGGCTAAGTTTAAAAAAATAAAAAATGGCAAGTGCTGGTGAGGCTGTGGTGAAAAGGGAACTCTCCTATACTGTTGGTGGGACTGTAAATTAGTACAGCCACTGTGGAGAACAATATGGAGGTTCCTCAAAGACCTACAAACACAACTACCACATGATCTAGCAATTCCACTCCTAGTTATCTACCCAAAGGATAGGAAAACACTCAGTTGGAAAAACATTGCATACCATATTTATTGCAGCACTTTTCACTATTGCTAAGACAAGGAACCAACCCAAATGTCCATGAGCTGATGAATGGTTTGAAAAAGTATGAAATATATACACTACAGAATACTACTCAGCCATAAAAAAAACAATGAGACCCTGGCATTTGATAGAAAGTGCAAAAATATAGATTTACTGCTAAGTGAAACAAGTCAGATAATGAAAGACAGGCATTGTATGTCCCCACTCGATATATACCGAATGTCGGCACTCTATGGTAGAAACTGAATGATGGTATAAAAGCATGGATAGCAATGATGATACTGGAGACAGCGGGGGAGGAGGGTGGGAAATAGGGGAGCGTGAGAGGGAAGGAATCAAGGGGAAGAAGAAAGAAGCTAAACATTAGGGACCTAAAATGGAAAGAAATCTGTTGATTATAATTTTTACGGTAATGTTTTTGACTGGACCAATATGCTGTGTATTCATGATGGGAAAATTCATTTGGTATGCTATAATGAAACACAGTGATTAAATGTATAAAAGTAAGTGTAAAAAAAATCCAAAACAAGGGCCAACAGATGGCATAGTGGTTACATCACCGGAATCCCAAATGGCCAATCGTGGTTCAAGACCCGGACCCAATGGCTTGAGAATCAGGCTGGGCATGTGTGTGTGCATGCCCAAGATCCTGGGAGGAGAATGGAGGAGAAGGAATTGCGATGTGGCCATCACCCCTGAGGGATGATTTCTTACTTTCCCTCTCACTGTCTCTGTCTCTCTTTCTGGTGAGTGCATGCACCCTAAGGCAAAAATCCCTCCAAAAAAAGAGAAAAAAAAAAAGAATGAGGAACTACTACTAGAAAGTAATATAACTGGTCTATTCATAAATAAGCAGCAGATCTTATCCTTTTTAAGCCACCGGGTCCAGGACTCAAACCACGGTTGACTACATGGGAATCCAGCGACATAGCCATTAGGCTAACTGTTCGTCCAAGATCTTATCCTTTTTTCCTGTTATGATGCTACACTTTGGAAAACAGTAGATCAGAATGCTTAGGACAAACAGGCTTCAACTGAACAGCCAACTCTAATCCACTGATATAGGCTACCTGGAGTATGATCTAATGAGAATCACAAAGCCACTTCTGGAACCAAAGTGTGTTGGACTGGTAATTCCTGCAATGGCCATAGGGTGGTGAGAATGGTCAGGAGTGCCAGATATTTGCCACATTAGGGCAGAGGCTTTGGAAATGACAGATCTGAGTTCAAATCCTGACTTCGTCCCACTAACTCTATGACAATGGACATACTACCTTCTCTCTCTGGGTCATTTCTTGTTTATAACATGGGAATGACAATATCTACCGTATGGGATGCAATAAGGATTAAAGAAAATAACTTACGAATGTCCTAAACTGAGGACATCATACACAGTAAGTCTTTAATAAATGCTTGTCATTATTAGTTACAAGGACATAGTTAACTGTAGGTTGTGAGAATTTCCCTAGTCGAATTATCTAATTCATAAAAATGGGTTTCTTTCTCATGTTTTTCTATTTTAAACTCAAGTAAGGCTATTTTTGCCAAAATGAATTTTTAAAAAACTCATTTTAGGGGCTAACTGGTGGCTTTGTGGTTAGGGCAATGAACTCTCACATGGACAACTGTTTTTTGAGTCCCAGAAAGGTGGCTTGAGACTCACACTGGGCACATGTGTATGTGTGTCCCATGTCTCAGAAGGAGAATGGAGGAGAAGGGATTGTGGCATGGCCATCCCCTGGCAGGGGGTGGTGATTTCTCACTTTTCCTCTTACTATCTCCAGTGAATGCTCATGACCTATGGTAAAAACCTTAACAAAGGAATTTAAAATAAAATAAATTTTAATTTTAAAAAATGAAAATTTTGGGACCAGCAAATGGTGTAATGGTTGCATCCTGGACTCCCACGTAGTTGACCATAGTTCGCATCCCAGACCTGGTAGCTTAGAACTCACACTGGGAGCATGTGCATGTGTGCCCAAGATCCTGAGAGGAGAATGGAGAAGGGACTGTGGAGTGGCCATCCTCACCCTCCCAAGGGAATGATTTCTTGCTTTCTGTCTCTCTGTCCTTCTCTGTCTCTCTAGCAAAGATCTCTCTCTAAAAAGAAAGAAAGAAAGAAAGAAAGAAAGAAAGAAAGAAAGAAAGAAAGAAAGAAAGAAAATTAAAAAATGAAATGAAAATTTTCCTATTTCTTTTCTTTTTTCTTTTGGAGAGGTTTTTGTTAAAGGGTGCATGCACTTGCCAGAGAGACAGAAAGCAAGAAATCACTGCCCACCCCCCGGAGGGGATGCCCACGCTGCAATCCCTTCTCCTCCATTCTCCTCTCAGGATCTTGGGCATGCACGCACATGTGCCCGGCCTGAGTTTAAGCCACCGGGTCCGGGACTCAAATCACGGTTGACTACATGGGAGTCCAGCGACATAGCCATTATGCTAACTGCTGGTCCCGAAAATTTTCTTATTTCTTTAAAATATATTTTGTCAACAACTTTATCTTTTTCTTCTATCTAATCATTCATTTCCTTTGGATAGCTTGGATCAGGATTTGTTATTGTTTGTATCAACTTTAGCTCTAAAAAAATGGATCGGATACTGTAGTACAGTAGTTTATAAACCATGAGTCACAGTCTCCCAGTGTATGAAGAAATCAATTTAATGGGTTACATTCATAATTTTAAAAAAGTAAAATCAAATGAAACATAAAAATAACTGAGCATGTACAAAGATAAGTATTATTCTATAAAAGTTTGTTTCTAGTATGTGAGAGAGGGAGTATTAAGGGAATCCGAATGTATGTATTTTTGTGATTATGGATGCAGGTATAGCAAAAGTTTATATACTATATCCTAGGCTATGAATACATACTTTAACAGTCCATAAAGACAGATTTCAAGACCTTAAACACATGCAAAAGAAAAAATAAAAATAAAAAACATAAAATGAAAAAGGATGAATGGGGGCCGAGGCAGCATGGTGGTTAAGGTGCTGGGTCCCACATGGCCAACTCCATGGTTCCAGTCCTGGACCCAGCAGCTTGAAATACATGTCAGTGCATGTGCTTGACACCCAAAATCTTAAGAAGAGAATAGAGGAGAAGGGACTGTGGCGTGGCCATCCTGCTGCAGCATCATTTCTCTCTCTCCCTCTCACTATCTCTCTCCGGAAAGCACACACACCTTATGGCAAAGATCTTAAAAAAAAAAAAAAGATGAATGATTTTTCTCCCCTTAAACCAATTCTACCAGTTTTCTTCCAAAGCAACATAATAGTCAACTAATATGTCTCCAGGAGAAAGTTACTTCTTCCCAAGAACTGCAGAGTTCACCTTCTAAAGACAGCTGATCTCAGATTAGATATAAGCTGAAAGAAAGAACCATAAACCTTATCAGTGGGCCTCAAGACCACCTGACATTGGAAGACTCATACATAGCTTGAATATATTATAATGATGCAGTAAGAATACACAGCTGGATCAAAGAGAAAACAACACTGGAGAAATCCATGCATAGGTTATTCTCTCTCTCTCCCTCCTATAAGTAGAGACGTGTGTGCAAAGTTTCTCTCAAGGAAACTCATTAGGAATTCAGTGACCAGTATTGGCAGGTGGTGGTGTGGTTAGGGCGCTGAACTCCCTTATAGCTGACTACAGTTCAAGCCCCAGACTTGTCTTTCTCACTTTCCCTTTGTCTCTCTCTGCAACGACCAAGCTGGGCAGGATGGCATACACCTGTAATCCTAGCTACTCAGGAGACTCAGGCAGCAGAACCATAAGTTCAAGGTCATCCTAGACAACTTTGTGAGATCCACTCTCTTAAAAAAGATATCCGTTAGTATCCAAAGTTTTTACTGGGGGAGGGGAATGGTCACCCAGGTACTCTCTCAGTTGGTAGCAACGCCAGATCCCTAAACACCAGGTTCCTAAAAGGAAAGCAGGAGCATACAGATGGCCGAGGCACAACAAACCAGATGAAGTAAGGGAGGAACACTGCCAAAATCCAAGCTCCAGGTGCCAATAAAGGGTTAGTCGTACAATGCAAGTAGGCCTTTCCCAAGACAACAATGTCAAGCCCACTGTGTTAACTATTTTCTGCACAGATGCAAACCTTTCTTCAAAACCTCATCCATGGGACCAGCAGTTAGCATAATGGCTATGTCGCTGGACTCCCATGTAGTCAACTATGGTTCAAGTCCTGGACCTTGATACCTGAAACTCATGCCAGGCATGTGTGCGTGCGTGCCCAAGAACTTGAAAGGAGAATGGAAGAGAGGGGATTGTAGTGTGGCCCTTCCCCCCAGACGGTGATTTTCACTTTCTGTTTCTCTCTCTCTCTTTCTGGTGAGCACATATGCCTTATAGCAAAAACCTCTCAAAAAAAAAAAAATCTATATATAAGTGGTTATTTCTAATGGCCTTGTACTATTTAAGGATGTCTTTAGAAGATGGTACTATAAATCCAACAGATCTAAAACATTCCAAAGTGGATGGAAAACGGCATGGCTTTAGTGAATCTGTTCTCAACCAATATTTCTTTATGATATTAAGTGATATTTACATTAAACTTTCTTTCATGTCTCTTACCCAGAACTCCTTGGGCTGCACTGTCCAGAGTTCCTCCATGCCCAATTTTCAAAGTCTGCTTTTTCCTCTTGGTCCATTCTGGAGAAGGCATCCCAGCTTCTGTGAGAGTAATTGGAATGACAAAAGGTCATCACCAAGAGTAATAGAGTAAGATCTTTGTAAATATGGGGAGAGGGAATGACAGTGCATTCAAAACTAACAAAGTACGTATAAACTTAACATATGAGACTATGACCACATTACTACCAATGAACAGATCTAAAATCTGCTAAAAATGTATACATATACACCCCCTAAGCCACAAAGAAATAAATAGTATTCCCAAATTATCTGGAAACCAGAATTTATTTTCAAAGAAAAAAAAGGACTTTTTTTTAAATTTCAATTTACTTATTTGCATTCATTCACTGTACATCATTACAGCATACAAAATGAGATTTTCCATCCAGAGTACACTATATATTGTCTCAATCAAGCACAACAACAAACATGTTATTGTCAGCAAATGATCTTCCATTTCTTGTTTTCTGTATGTTTTGCCCTTCCCCCCCTTCCTTGATTCCCTATCTCTTACCCTCTGCCATCTCCCACTCTCCTCCCTCACTGTCTCTGGTACCTATGTTTGCTTTCTATACTGTTTTCTCCCCACATTTTATTGAATCACCAAAGACCCTAATCAATCCAAATAACCTCATAGCAAACACAGGTGACATACACATTTCCATGAACACAAGTCTAACTTTACGCATCCTATTAAGTAGCACCTAGCTGGGGCTACATATCCTACTCAGTCATTGAATAGATATATATTTTTTTTTTCCCTGAAACTTTTTTCTTTTTGTAACTCAATTTACATTCCTTCCCTAAGCATCATCACAGCACACAAAATGCGATCTCCCATCCAGTACACACTGAATAGTGACTCAATCATGCACATTACAAAAAAATTTTCCATTTCTAGTTCCTAGAATTATTTCCACCCCTTTCTGACCCTCTGTCCCTTCCCACCCTCCTCTCACACCACCTCCGGTGTTCACAATTGAAAAAGGACATTTTTTTAAAAGTTGGTGAACATTCAGGTTATAAAAAATACAACCTACAAAATCTTAGCAACTTCCTAGTACAAGGCTGTTAGAGAATGATAGAAAGAAGTTTATTTTGATATAGATAGTTTTAAAAGACCTCAACTTCCATTTCTAAATCTCTTCCATTTTCTGGTGTTTCTTTGCTAGGACCTCCACTACTTTACTAATGCTGGGAGTTCATCTCAGGCAGGGCTACTTCTAAATATACTAAGTTCCCAAACAAACTGAATCCATTGGTCCCATCCCCTAATAAAAACTCAGAATCCATTAAAGAAGCTAATCTCAAAAATTGGTTTTGAGAAGTAGGTAACAGTTAACTCTTTTTTTTAAAGAGATTTTTGCCATGGGGCACATGAGTCTGCTGGAGAGACAGAGAGAAACAGAAGCAAGAAATCACCCCAAGCACACTGCAATCCCTTCTCCTCCATTATCCTCTGGAGATTTTGTGAATACACGCACATAAACCTGGGTTTTAAGCCACCATGTCAAGGACTAGAACCATGCTTGACCATGTGGGAGTCCAGTGCCTTAACCACTATGCCACCTGCTGGCACCAGTAAGAGTTAATTCCTAACCTCCAAAGGTTAACCTCTTAATCTCCAAAGTATTTAAATTAAAAAATAAAAGGATGCCAAAATGATTTATTTCATATTTGTGTTGTAAAGGTAAAATGAAAGAATATTATCTGAAAAGCTTTGAAAACTATACAGCATTGTAAGTTGTTATGATGACAGTGGTAGATGACATATGGACAGAATACTGGATTTCAAATGAAAAAAGAGAAGAGAGCAGCAAAAGTTGTATTGAGCTAAACACACCCCAACCTATCAAACCTTTCTTATCACTGAGAAGATAGAAAATAGAGAAAAAGAAAATAGAACTAGAGGACAAAGAAAGGATAAGAGGAAAGCAGCAATAATGGAAGTGGAGAAGCCAGATGAAATGGCCAAAAGGATATGCCAGGAGCTCAGCCTCATAGCTTAATTACCACCCTACTGAGGCACAACCATGATACCTAGAACAATCCTGGTGTGATTCTCACATTATTCATCCACGTGTGAAAGGGCATGGATGTCTCCTTTGCCATCAACCCCTAAGGCCAAGTCTAGGCTTCAACCTCTGCTTTTCACCTGCAACCCATCATAGATCTTTAATCTATAAGCTTTTAGAAAATCTGGGGTGGGAGGGGACCAGCAGATGGCATAATGGTTACATTGCTAAACTCCCCTGTAGTCGATTGCAGTTCATGTTTTGGACCCAGTGGCTTGAAACTCATGCCAGGTGCATGTATGTGCATGCCCAAAATCCCAAGAGGAGAATGGAGAAGGGATGGTGATGTGGGCATTCCCCCTGGGGGTGGGGGGGTGTTTCCTTGCTTTCTTTCTGTCTCTCCCATGAATGCATGTGCCCTATAGCAAAAATCTCTCTTAAAAAAAAAAAAAAAAGAAAAGAAAATTTTGGGGAAAACTCTATATATTCACCTTGATAATCCTTGAAGTATGAAAGCCCTAGAAATTTACTGTCTTCTTTTTGTGCCCAAATTTACCTCTTTCTAACTTGCAGATATAACACCTCTACTGTATTGGAATTTGGTTCATATTCAAGGATAAATATTTATTAAGGTCTTTTGTAGCAATAGAATTCTGATGTTTCAGGCCTTAAAGGATTGAAACAAAGTGGAGGTTGTAATACGAATATGATAGTAAATAAACAATGTAAGGAAATGCAAGGAATGTAATTAGAGGCCACGATCACTGACAGTGGTTAAATCAGTGGTTTTCAAATCTTGCTGGCACAGGAAATTTTTTTTTTTTCTGAGAGAGATTTTTGCTATAGGGTGCATGTGCTTCCAAGAGACACAGAGAGAGACGCCACGCTACAATCCCTTCTCCGCTAATCTCCTCTTTGAATTTTGGGCATGCATGAACATGCACCTAGCGTGAGTTTTAAGCTGTTGGGTCTAGGACTTGACTGTGTTCAGCTATATGGGAGTCTAGCAACGCAACCACTACGCCATCTGCTGGTCCCTCCTTTTTTTTTTTTTCTTAAGAGATAATTTTGCTATAGGGCACATGTGCTCACTGGAGAGTCAAAGAAAGAAGACAGAAAGACAGAAAGCGAGAAATCACCCCCTAAGGGGATGGCCACGTCACAATTCCTTTCTCCTCCATTCTCCTCTCAGAATCTTGGGCATGTATGCACATGCACCCATCCATGAGTTTTAAGTCACCAGGTCTGGGAGTAGAACCACAGTCAACTATGTGGGAATTCCAGTATGTGGGAGTAACTATTATACCACCTGCTGGTCCCTCTGGCCTTGGAATCTTTAACTGACAGCTAGTTAAGATGGCATTTGTCAAGCCCTATTCTAGCTAACAAAATTATAATATAGGCCAATCATAAGCAATATAGACATGGAATGGAGAATGATGATAATGTCTACATCCGAATGAATGGCTTCCAGAAGATGGCCTAGCCACAGCCTTGAACCAATCAGTTTCCAAAAAGAAATTTCAGCTCTTGGAGATAAATTAACCAGAAAGCCCAGATATGGCATTGATCTTGTCAGAAACTTGTCTAAGAGGAAGAATGATAATCATTACTCTGAGGATCAAGAAAAGCCATAGCTTAGCTAACAAATCAGGCCAAATAAAAGCAGCAGGTCTATGAAGGAAAAAACTGGAGGGTGACACCACAATGTTTACCCTTGATACAATTCCACACTTCAACATCCCCTATATCCTTAGGGGCAGCAAAGCACATTTGCCCTCAGTATCTGTGGGAGAATGGTTCCAGGACCCCTCTTGGATAATAAAATCAGCAGATGCTCAAGTCCCTTTCATAAAATGTCTTAGTATTTGCATATAACCTATACACATCCTCCCATATACTTTAAATCATCTCTGGATCGCTTATAACACCTAACACAAAGTAGATGCTATGTAAACAGTTGTTGTGCTGTATTTTTTTTTTGTATTATTTTTTATCTTTTATTTTTAATTTAAGCAGCTTTTCCTTAGGGTACATGGGGTGAGGGGGTGGGGTGGGGAGGAGGATACTGAGAAAGAGACAAAGACAATGAGACAGAAGTGAGAAATCACCCCCAGGGGGATGCAATCCCTTCTCCTCCATTCTCCTCCCAGGATCTTGGAAACACACACACATGCACCTGGTTATTTTCAAGCCACCGGGTCCAAGACTCGAACTGCGGTTGGCCATGTGAGAGGCCAGCGCCATAACTGCTACACTATCTGCTGGCCTCTTTTCAAATATTTTTGAGCAGAGATTAATTCATGTATGCGGATCCCATGAATAGGGAGGGCTAACTCGGTAAGGAAAGCTTAACAGAAGAACGAGTAGGTATAACATTGGAATTAAACAACTATTTGCTAATAAACATTTCATTCTGTATCGTCCATTATAACGAACAAATGCTTATCAGAATAATTCATTTTTGCATTTAAAAAATCTATAAAATTTGTTGGGGATACTTAATAATGTAAGAAAGGTCCTGTACTGGTTTAATGACAAGACAAGCCAGGCAAAATAGTTTTACCACCAAAGGCGGTGTAAATTAGTAGGGTATAACCTTATTTAAGGAAAGAGACCGTACCTTTCATCTGCGTGTCTCCATGGTCTAACACAGATCTAGCTTAATGTAAGTGTTAGATAAACTTAAGGTTCTTCGATGCCACTATGTGAAAGGATATATTATATGGCGAAGAACTCTGTGATCCTTCAGTCTTTTCCAATATTTTCCCAGTATGTGAACAAACAAAAAGAATGCTCTTAGAGAACTGGCCAAGTTATATTTACTGTTATTCAAAATGTGGTCCATAGACTTAATGCAGAATTTCCTGGAGTAACTGCTTAAAAATGCAATTTCCTTTAACACCCTAGGGCCTCAGAATCACAATCTCTGGGAGGACAGGGACTAGGAATCTGACTTTAAAAAAGAGACTAATTGTTAGGCTCAGTAAAATGTGAAAACTACAGTATTAAGGTCTTAGTTAACTAAGTATATCTGCATTTCCAGTATACCTTTAAGAATGTAATTTGGAGAGCCAGAGGTAGCATGGTGGTTAAGGCACTGGACTCCTACATGGTTGACAGCAGTTAAAGAGTCCCAGATCAGCAGCCTGAAACATACACAGCACGAAGGCCTGCGACCCCAAATCCCAAGAAAGGAATGGAGAAGGGATACCCCAAATCCCAAGAAAGGAATGGAGGAGAAGGGGCTGCAGGGTGGTCTTCCTCCGGGGGACATGATTTCTCTTTCTGTCTCTCTCCAGCTCTTTCTCCTGGGAACACATACGGCTATAGCAAAAACCTTGCCAAAAAAATAGAGTCAATTTTGGGTTTATAGAGCTAATGCTTCCTTTGGGTGGGGTTCTTTCACGGGAATCAAAAAGCATCCTAAGAGATTAGATTCAAAACAAAACAAAAGTGGTCTGCACGCCCGAGGACAGAGGATTACTGTGTAAGTATGGTTTGTTTTTTATTCTTTCCCCTTGAGAACGACAATTGCCAACTAGGCCATGAGAGTTCACGCTAGGTCAAGTCCAAGCTCGAGAGGCCCCAGATTTCTATCCAAAGCTAATTCAATGGCCGTTCTCCCTTTCCTCTTTTCTCTCTTGAGTCGCAAAAGGCCCAGTGTGCTTCCCTTCTGGCCTCAGCCTGCTCCCCTCCCGGGCTGCAATACCTGCCAACAGCTTCTCCTTCAACCGATTCAGCAGCTCGGCTGAAGTGGGCCCTTTGGGTTTGTGCACGGCGAACACGCCGCTCAGGGATAGCAGCTTAGTAGCCAAAGCGGCCTTGGAGACAGGGGCGTCGGATCCGGTCCTGGCCGTGGCCGTTACTGCTGCGGCTGCCCGTGGCGCCTTCGCAGCCGTGGCCGCAGCTGTCCCTGCAGTTTCAAGGACTGAGGCTGTGTCTGTTTTCAAAGACGATGACAACGCCACCGTCCCATCCGCAGCAGCAGCCATACTTTCCTAGCTTAGACCTGTGCTATTTTCCTTTTTTTAAAAATTCTAGAGGCGCACGATGATGGCGTCAGAAGCGTGCGGCCGGCCTCCCCGTGTTCCCCATACTGTTACACTGACAGGAGGGGGTTGGCGGTGATGGGAAGTGGCAAGGGCTTCTGGGAATTGTAGTCCACGGCCTTGCTGTACAGGCTGAGGGCTTGCTGTGACCTCTGTGCCTTCAGAGGTACACATTCTCATTACATGCTATCTATGTTGCTTGCGACTGGCCTGTTTCATAATTATATAAGCTGGACGAAGGCTTCCCAAATGACATGTTAACTATAATTCTCTCTGCTTCTTACATAGAGTGAGTTCTTGCCGTAAGGTTAATTTAGAATTGGACTCCCAAACTGTAAAACCCAAACACTAAGTCAAACCCAAACACTAAGTCTGTCTGTTTTAGGCGGAAAATCCCTTCACACTTCCCCAGCACCCACTCTAGAACTAAGAGGATCCAACATCGAAGAAGAGAAAACTAAAAAATACTGACTTTTGTTGCAAAATTAAAGATCCATGTCTCCCTTGGCTCACTGATTCAGCGTGCTCTTGGGTTCATGGTTCAGAATTAAAACACAGAATGTAAGCTCTGTTAGAGCTGGGAACCTGGCCCTAGCACACTGTAATATCTCAGTATACTCACACACATAGTCAGCACTGAAATAAATACTTCGTAATGAATATGACCCAGGAACGCGGGGCACAGTAGTAACCAGGTTCTTGTCCCTTAAGTGGAGACCCAGACACAGAGAGTGATAATGGTATAGCAAAGTGGAGAGGTTATTGAAAGAGAGGGAAGGAAAGACAGAGCCTCCAAGAAGAGAGGAGTCCCAGCAAAATAGGTTTCCAAGGAAGAACTGAGGTGAGGGGGTTTTATTTTGGTCAGGAATGGCTTTGTCTGGACTTTTTCTACGTGGAGCTTGTGCATGTGTACTCCTTGGGGGGGGGGTAGTATGCTGGATAGGTCCAGTTATTTTCCTAATTTTGGAGTGGGTACAGGAATTACTTTGCCTAGCAACTTTGGGTCATAAAAGCCATTATTATTATTTTTTTTTTTGGAGAGATAGGGGGTTTTATTTTGGTCAGGAATGGCTTTGTCTGGACTTTTTCTACGTGGAGCTTGTGCATGTGTACTCCTTGGGGGGGGGGTAGTATGCTGGATAGGTCCAGTTATTTTCCTAATTTTGGAGTGGGTACAGGAATTACTTTGCCTAGCAACTTTGGGTCATAAAAGCCATTATTATTATTTTTTTTTTTGGAGAGATTTTCACTGTACTGGGTACAGAAAATCCTTTCTTTAGCAACTTTGGGTCATAAAAGCCATTTTTTTTTTTTTTGGAGAGATTTCCACTGTAGGGCGCGTGCGCTCGCCAGACAGACAGAGAGAGACATAGAGACAGAAAGCGAGAAATCACCCCCCAGGGGGGATGATCACGCCGCAATCCCTTCTCCTCCATTCTCCTCTCAGGATCTGGGGCACGCACGCACACGCGCCCGGCGTGAGTTTTAAGCCACCTGGTCCGGGACACGAACCGCGGTCGACTACGTGGGAGTCCAGCAACATAGCCATTACGCTAACTGCTGGTTCCCATAAAAGCCATTATTGTATTTTCTTCCCAGAATGTGGTTGGTCCTGGGAAAAAAGCCTTTGTTTTAGGTCTAAGCAATTACTGAGCCATGGCTGGAGGCAGTCTATCCCAAGCAAGCAGCTGAACTGCTTTGTCTCCATCTTAAAACTTAGCCTTTCTGATTTTATTTTGTGCCTATGCCCTAACTATAATTTAAGGGTCCCTGATCTTACCTCAAATACATGAATATGAGTTCTTCTAGGCCAAGCCAATGGTAATACAATCAAGCTCATTTTTGATGCTCCTCATGTACCTTGTCCACCTCCAACTCCCTATTGCAGTTCTCCAAAAGTCTAAGATTTTTAATACTAACTCTTCTATGAGTTGCATTCCTTAGTACACATTGCTTAGGTATCACCAGCCAGTGCAATTCATAAAATTAAACTGCTTTTAATTTGAGACCTTCTCTCTAGGTCACTCCTCAACAAATTTCAAGAACACTATTTTGGTTGTAGCCCTAGGTAGTGAAGACACATTCATTTTACTTCTGCTCCAGATACATTAAATGGAATTATGAGCATTGGGAAACAGATGGAAGTTTTCCTGCATTTCCTTTGTCCTCATCATCTTTTTGGACATTACTATCTAGTATCCTAATGATGTCTCCTACATATTCACAATCACCAATTATGGGAGCCCATTGGAACTTGCCCACGTTTGTGCACTAAATACATAGCAAAATGGTGGCTTTCAATACAGGACAGTGTTTAATTCTTCCTATATTTTCACCCTTCATTTTAATCAGATTATCAAATTAAATTTTTGTCTGGGATGTACAATACTGTGAAAGTACTCAATGCCACAGAAATAAACATTTAAAATGGTAAAAATGGGAACTCTTACGTTATATTTATTTTACCACAATTTTTAGAAAACAAACAAAAAAAGTATTGGGGGGAATTTTTGCAGAGGGGAAAGCTGAAAATGTAGAAGGAAGTCACCTACTCTTGTGTCCATTAGAAAAGCCTAGCCACTAGAAAAGATTATACAGGGAGATGCCTTAGAGGCCAGAGGAAATGTCATATGATTAATGGATACCTGAGCCCACTTTAGAAATTTCGTTTTTCCAGGAGAATGACACAACTTCAGAAAGGATGGCTCCACCTTAGGAAGCGGAGTGTCCTTTCACCTTAGCAAAGACATCTGTGTTCTCCTCTTGGCATGAAAGAGAACCAGGGACTTTAAGGGAAGGTTGCAGTCTTCAGCAATGATAACTTGGACATTAGAGGATTTTTTCTCAATTGTCTGTACATCAGCAAACTTTTCTAATTCTGTTTTGACTCTAGAGTAGGGGCTGGGAAGAAGGGCAGATCTATTTAAGTAATGCTTACATTTTAATTTTCTACCTGCCAAGAGCAGAATCAGTTCACTTGATTTAAAAGGAACAAAGAAATGGATATTTTTTGCATGTTTGAATCTGGGGTGCTGGGGCACAACAAGGTTCGTTCTGCTCTGTTCTCACATCTGCATTCTTGGCATCAGAAACACAAAGCTCTCATTTTCAGAAAGAACCAAATCTCCCACATTGTGCATACCTTTAACTCAGCTTGTCTTAATTAATAGGTGTATGAGTTAGGACACTTTGGTTAGAAGCCTTTCATACCGTCTTGGGGGGGATAGGGAGAATTTATCAGAATACTCTTCAGAACCTATGAGGTTTTCTCTCTCTATTTCTCTCTCTGGCTGTGTATATTTCTTTTATGCTATACTCTTGTCTTCCTCATTTTTCTCTTTTGCTTCTAATGGTCTTTTTTTTTTCCTTCTATTCCTAATTTCATGTCTGTGATTTAAACCATCCTTCTTTGATAGAATTCCAACAACCTTCATGAGATCACTCCTGACCACGTATAAGACCTGTAACCTTACTCATTTGACCTCTCTGCCACAGCACCTTCCTACTCACTTTCCTGCTTTACTTTTCTGATTAGCATGTCATATATATATATATATATATACACACACACACATGTGTATATACGTATATACATATATGTATATATGCGTATGTGTATATATACATATGTGTATATACGTATATACATGTATACACATATGTATATATACATATACACACATATGTACACACACACTAATATATGCATATTGCAAGTGTAGCTTACCACCTCGCTTCAAATGTTATTTATTTCATTTTATGTGTATGTAAATGAGACAAAACAAAATTACTTAACGTCATATAAAAAGTCTTCAATATTTTTTAGAGAGAGAAATTTTTACTATAGGGCATATGTACTCAACAAAGAGACAGAAAGAGACTGGGGACAGAAAGCAAGAAATCATCCCCTTGGGGAGATGGCCATGCCACAATCCCTTCTCCTCCAATCTCTTCTTGGGATGTTGGGCACACACTCACACACACCCTGTGTGAGTTTTTAAGTCTCCGGGTCTGGGACTCGAACTGTAGTCAACTATGTGGGAGTCCAGTGATATAACCATTTCACCACCTGCTAGTCTTAAAAGTTGGAGACTTTTCTTTTTATAATTTATTATAATTTTTAGATTATTTTATTTATTTATTTATTTATTCACATGAGTTTTGCCAGAGAAAGACAGAGAGAGAGAAAGTAAGCTGCCAGGCTCAGGACTCAAACCACGGTCGGCCATGTGGGAATTCCAGTGCCCTAATCACCACACCACCTGCTGGCCCCAAAAAGTTGGAGACTTTTAAGCCAGCTTCCATGCTGCCCTCTATTACCCCTGTGCATCCAAGGGTTAATTTTTTTTTGGGGGGGGAGAGGGTTTTTTTCGCTATAGGGCACGTGCGCTCACCACACAGACAGAGACATAGAGACAGAAAGGGAGAAATCACCCCCCAGGGGGGATGGTCATGCCGCAATCCCTTCTCCTCCATTCTCCTCTTGGGATCTTGGGCACGCACGCACACGCGCCCAGCGTGAGTTCTAAGCCACTGGGTCCTGGACCCGAACCACGATCGACCACGTGGGAGTCCAGCGACATAGCCATTATATTAACTGCTGGTTCACCCAAGGGTTAATTTTTAAGACTCAAATATTAACAAGACTCCACAGCTGTCAGTAGCACCCAAACAACTGCATTCCTGGGCACTTCTCTCATTCCTACCATAGCAGTATGTGCCTGGGAAAGCTGTTCTCCACAAAGGCTTCTCCAAAGGTTGTTCACCTGTGATTCATAAAAAGGAGTACATGAAGAGAACCTTTAGAGCATATGGTACAACTCTTTCACATATTAAAATAGGGGTACAGAAAGGTGTTCTGGAAACCAGGAAGAGAAAGCTGAGGAAGGTCAAACCTGTATGTTAGACTTGAGAAAGGCGTAGTTTTTTTAAAGTTCCCAAAAAAGATGGACGTGTTCCATTTTTCTCATGATTCCCATCATGAAATTTGA